AGGGAGAGAGAGAGAGAATTATCACGTGGAGAAAGGTATATAACAAAAAATAGGAAAATAAGGGGCAAAATACCCAAAAGAAGGCAAGGGGATTCGAGCAGAAAATAGGATAGGTAACCCGAGCGATACGTATATCTGCTGGTTGGCTTCATCAGGCCCGAAATGAATGCAACTACAAAAGTAGATACACATGCCCATACATCCGGATATGGATGTAACCTGAGGTAACGAAGATGGAGGGGGGAAAATGACACGAAGTCCACAACAAGAGCCAACCTACACATTGTGTATAAAATGGCTAGAAGACCTCGAATTTTCAAGGCGACAACTAACCACAACCACGCGGCCGGTTATTACCGCTTGCTGTGGTACTTTAGGCCCCGAGTATAGCTCGGGTTATCTAACCTATTTTCTGCTCGAATCCACTTTTCTTATTTTTGCGGATTTTGCGCATTATTTTCCTATTTTTTGATATACCTATACCTTTCAACAATATATACAACCACGCGGCCGGTTATAGCCACTTGCTGTGGTACTTCAAGCCCAAAGGATCTACAAGGAGAAAATTATCATGCGGAGCTGCATTCAACTATGACGTGGCAATCGATTCACAACAAATCGTTGCTATTGGACCAGTGAACGTTGTGAGTCATCACTTGAAGGCTTTAAAGTTTAAGAATGAAGCTACTGGATTATGTTGCGTCAGTGGAAAGATCAAATTGACTCCGTTCCAGAAATGGGCCAGAATTTTTTGACTCACATGCAGCAATACAATAATTGCTTTCAAATGACCTCATTTAGCCCAACAAAATTTATTCCACATAATTTTATGACTACTTTCAAGGCAAGTCGATCAGGGTATGACAGTGCTGCCAACGTATTTTGCTAGCCAAATGGCGGACAAACACTTAGCTATACAATTACCTTTATTCCATATACAGGGTGGCCCATAAGTCCTTTGAGCTGGAAAAAAAAGGAATAAAACCAAACTAGTTACATTATGAAGAATTATTATATTTTGTTATCATCTTTATTGAATGGGAATTATGTTTTAAAAATCACATCGTCTAAATGCAATCCATTACGATCACGGCACTCATATAAACGACGTCTAAAATTGTCGATGACTGCGCGGCAAGTCAACACTGTAATGCTTGCCATTTCTCTTCGGATATTTTCTTTCAGGACATCAACTGATCGCGGAGTGGTGTCGTACACTTTACTCTTGAGGTAGCCCCATAAAAAGAAGTCCAGTGGGGTCAAGTCTGGACTACGTGGTGGCCAGGAAATGTCTCTTCTTCGAGAAATTACTTTGCTGGGAAGAAGTTGACAGACGACGGGAATAGAAGTGTTGGAGGTGTGGGCAGTTGCTCCGTCCTGTTGAAACCAGGTCTGCGTATTATAGCCTGGAAAATTCTGCAACGCTGTTGTCAAAAACTCCTCTATCATTGCTACATACCGCTCCGAAGTAACACTTAATGCGCGACGTCTGTCGTCCTCAAAAAAATAAGGGCCTACGATGCCATGCGCTGACATAGCAGCCCAAACTGTAACTTTAGGGCTGTGTAAGGGCTTCTGATGCTTACGCCTTGGATTTTCGGGGCTCCAATAACGGCAATTTTGTTTATTTACATGCCCGTTTAAATGGAAGTGAGCCTCGTCCGAGAACAACACATTATTGAGCGAAGAAAATCGATTCAACATTTCATTCGCAAAGTTTAGTCTCTGAATAGCGTCATTATCTTTTAATTCCTGCACTAACTGAATTTTGTAAGCGTGCAGACGTAAATCTTTCCTTAAAATCCGCTGTAAAGATGTTCTGGGTACGTTTAGTGCACTGGAACGCTTACGAGTAGACTGGGTAGGATTTTGACGAACAGACTGTGCCACAATGTTGATGTTTTCTTCAATACGAGTTGTCCTTGGTCGACCCCACCGCTGTTTATCTAACGTCGAACCAGTCTCTTCGAACTTAGCACCCCAGTTCTTAATCGTTTGAGCTGTTGGACACTTTGTAAAATTGTGTAAATTGTGGTATTCTCGATATTTACGCCGCGCAATGGTTGCCGAAACATTATTTTGATAAAACGCGCGCACACAAAAAGCACGATCCGCTCCAGTGAAACACTCCATGGCGACTGAATTCCCAGACACTGAAGATACTGCCCCCACCTCGCCCGCGCCGCTCACGCTCACCCGTTAAATTTTATTCAAATTTGAAATTTCAAAGGACTTATGGACGTATTTACTCTTTTATTGTTCATTATTCATCCCACTTCATAGCTAGGACAGGACAACATATGTCGGGTCAGCTAGTATTTTTATAAAATAATATCCAAATGCATTACCATGAATCATTCTCCATTTCTAAGCAGTCGAACTTAGAACGATCGCTGGTAGATTGTTAGAGCTCATCTTCATAAGCTTGTCTTGAGATATTAAATCCAGCCATTAATTCTTCGTAATTCTTAGCCGGAACGACGTCGTGTTCGATGTTTAAATTATTTGTCTGAAAGTTTATAATTTCTCCGTGGAGGCGAATTGCACCGTAAATCACATTTCCTGAGAGTGGGAAGAGCTGGATAGTTCGAGACAATCCAGAAGTTGGACTTTTTCGAAGTGTTGGTTGCTGTGCCACATCCAGCGACTCCATGGCTTTTGTGGACGGAGGATGTGCGGAACCGAACCGAATTCCGACGACGACAAAACTCTCCGAAACTTTCCTTGTTGCCGAAGCTGAATGAATATTTGGACCTCCTGATTAAAAAATTGAAGGCAATTAAATTCCCTTCCGGCGGTTGCTGGAAAGCTATTCGCTTTGTCCGTTTTATTTTTTGTCACCTGGACCGTACATCTTAAAAATTTTGTTTGGAGAAAGCCGACTTGAAGTCAAACTTATTATGTGGTTGATCATCGTTCAGATTCTACTGAGTGACAAATGAAACTGTAGATAGGTGTAGAAGTGAAATTTTACGAGTTTGAATGATTCAATTTCTCATTCCCATTTTTACTTCTTATGCCAAAACTGGCGAGGTGGTAGTGTAATCGAAAAACATTTCGAAATTGAGATATCACGTTTTTTGGATGTCATAAATATGACATGCACATCACAAAATACCATATCACGCATTTCCGCCAGTCTGTCTGTCTGTCCACTAATTTTGTAACCGCCTACTCGGATATTGATCAAATTTTCACACAAGGTTACGACTATGCCAAGGAACAGAAAACTTTTTAGTTTTAGAAAATTGTGGTGGCGTAGCTATTGGCAAAAACTTGAACAAAATAAGATACCACCCATTTCGTCTAATCTTTGATTTGTGTTACTCGGTCTATGATGGTTCTCTTAATATTTCGTCAAGTAGATTGACTTAGTACCTAAGACGCATTGACATACAACAGACATGGTCTCACAAACTGACATAAATGAGAAATGTACGAATGTTATCGCGAGTTTAATACTTCCATCGTTACGGTAGTCGTAGGTTTTGAAAACTGATTCAGAAACGGAGGAACTAAAATCGCTGGAACATAGCATAACAACGTTTCAGAGATTCCTGCTTATTTTCAGACATTGAAGGGAAGAACATTGTAGGTTGGAAGCTACATGCAGTAAATGGTTTTAAATTTATGCATATTTATTGTCAGTGAGGGCTTCTATTATTAAGAAGCTGCTGATCTCAGTGATACTATGCACATGTTGGACATAATGAATCACACATATTTTTCTGCCATGGAAACAGAAATACGATAGATCTGCTTTACTAGTTTTATATGCATAGGTCGAAGGTTCATCATCCCTAAGTGAACCTACCTGTTTACGATTCGATTTCACCTTTTGAAACGATATGACGCATCCATTCCCTCTGAAACCTCCAACGAAGACGTAGGAAAAGTCCATATGCTTAACTCCATCTTTTCATAGTGGCATGCTGATTGCATAAGAAATCGCAGTTTGGCTGTTCCGATTGGGAAATTCGCACTACATGGTATTTGAACTTGATTTACTCTTCATTGTTACAAACAGCGTGCGACGTTCAAATCCTCACGCTCGTATTGGTCACCAGACCATTAATGCCTGGGCAGGCAGCGACAAGCGAGAGGAAGCGACGATTGATTGCTCATGTTCGTCTTGACGCAGACTAAATGAGGATTGAATAGATAATAGGTACTACGCGGTTCAGGTAGTCTACACGATCATTGAGCTGATACTTGCCTATTTCTGGGTTGTAGGCTTGTACGAGGGATGTCTTTTAAGTTTTGCATATAGAAACATAGTAGGCCGCGCGGATCGAACGTCAGTACTGAATCTTAACCTCACTCTTTAGTAAACTTAAATCCAAAGTTTCACAAAAATGCGTGTAATGTTCTTACTACAGTGAATTTCTAAGTGTCACCAAGTCATTAGAAAAATGGAACTCAACCGAGAACATTTTCGCGTCATAATTTATTACAACTTTCAGAGACAACTATCGCGACAAGAATGCCTTGCTGAGTTACTGTCTGTTTTCGGCAACGAAGCGCCACATCAGTCGACAACTTCCCGTTGGTATGCAGAATTCAAACGTGGACGGGTGAGTCTTAGCGACGATCCCAGCGTGGGTGCACCAAAAACGGCAGTCACCCAGGAAAACGTCAATGCTGTGCGCAAACTCATAATTGAAGATAGACATGTGACGTATCGCGAGATTGACGCGTCCTTGAAGATATCAAAGACCTCAATTCAAAGAATTTTACATGAAGAGTTAGGAGTAAGAAAATTAGTTTCTCGTTGGATACCCCACCTGTTGACTGAAGAGCAGAGAGCAGCCAGGGTTAATTGGTGTCAAAAAACGCTTGACCGTTTCAATTCCGGAAACTCAAAAATGTGTGAGCATTGTTAGTGGTGATGAATCGTTGATTTACTGTTATGAACCAGAAAATAAACGACAGTCGGCCCAAAAAACAAGGCGGTATTTAACGGAAGAAAATGTGGAATTATTGGACCATCCTCCATATAGTCATATAGTCCCGATCTAAGTCCTAACGATTTCTTTACTTTCCCAAAAATTAAAAACAGACTGCGTGGTCAAAGGTTCCAGTCACCAGAAGAAGCAGTTGACGCATTCAAAAATGCCGTTTCGGATCTGCCAGCAAACGAGTAGAATAAGTACTTCGAAAATTGGTTCGAGCGCATGCAGATGTGTATTAGTCTTCGTGGAGAATACTTCGAAAAAGAATAAAGTCATTTAAAACTACCTACCGTGTTGTTTTATTTCCATGTGCTTAAAAGACGTCCCTCGTACATAGAGTACAGGGTGAGCATATAATTGGTAGAGAGATCCGTTATTATAAATATATTCAAAAAAGTAATTAAGGAAAACTGATTCATAACTACATGGCAATACAAACCTGTACTTTTATTTCCCAGTTTTTCAAAATCCATCCAGTGGTGGTGGAGAAAAGGGCTAAGAACAAAAAAATCGATGGTTGGTTTTCTGACGTTTCAGCACTTCAGCACTTTTATGTGCTAGATTAATAATAATAGCACTCTCAAACGAGGTATGATTGTACGCTTTTTTAATACTAGTATTATTAGGATTCATCTTAGAAATTTAGCAAAAACGCTGAGGGGAAGGCGACCAAATATTTGATGAAAATGTGTTAATAAGAATATAGCCTTGCGCGGAAAAAAGTCGTGTATCTAGTTTTTATCAGTGCAGAACAGGCTTAAATTTGCAGGTACAAAACTTAATTATAACTACCTGGCAAATCATTAAAAATCCAATCTATCAAGAATAATGTGGTGATTATAATTCGAAGAAATAGTTAATTTTGCGTTCTTGACTACCCTGTGTAAAGTAACAAAAAAAAACTGAAAAAGTATTATAAGTATTAAACATTTTTAACGAAAAAATCGCTATTCTAGATACAACAGTTGCCGAAATGCGAGTTTTCAAGGTTGAGTGTTTTTTTTTCGATAGTTTGTCCAAAACCCGAAAAGTGTAAAAGTAAGGCCCTTTGGTATATTATATCAAATTGCTTCATTTGAAAGGGTCTATACAAGTCTGCAATGAAATTTAGGGCTTTCCATTAAAAAAATGCATGCTTGGGTCGTCGCATATTACAGGTAATTGGTTCTGGAGTTTGCCAGGCAGTCCTGCTGTAATCTTTTCTACCAATGTTTATCATTCGTAAAAACCAAGTTTAAAAAAAGCACAGACTTACAGATTCAATCGACCAGCAAGGCTATTATGTAAAAAACCTATAAAACGTCAAAAAAAAAACAACAGCAAAATTCCATCTTGCAGACTAGGTAGTTCTTAGGGTGCAAATACCTTAGTCCACGTTTGTTTGCTATGATCGCTGTGAGAGTCCATCTATGGAGGAATGACTCAACTACCCGCATTGTTGGTTGCACGAAGCAAGTATGTGTTTTGTGAAGCCGAGTAGTCTGTAGTGTTTATCTGAGGAGATGTGAAAAAAAGAACGTGAGTTGAGTCGCAAGAACACATCTGGATGATTATGTGTATTGGTTTGCATGTAAGTAAATTATCACTGAATATGCTGCCAATGAAGTGTATCTATTAGCTGTGTCCGACTGGTTATTTATATGTTGTCCTTTCTGACAGAATATGTTTGAAGTTATAAATTACGATTTTTCTCGCTTTTTGGTGTTTTCAAAAACTTTGAAGAGCACTACGGGAAATGGCCATCGCGCCCGCGTTGTGTGAAATTAAGCCACATCACAGAAAAATGACGGATCACACTTCAACCATTTTCGCAGTGCCTCACATCTAGATGCTAATTTGTATTTTCTATTGACATCGCAAAATAATTTCTATAAAATTTAAAAATAAAAAATAATTTTATAACCTTTTCAATCTCATAAATATTTCTTTCTGTATGTAGCATTCTCTCACATGTTACTTCATCAACCAGGGACTTTCTTTTCTTATTTCCCTCGTTTTTTAAATTCAGCAAATTTGCATATGTAATTTCCAGGTTGAATAAGAAAAAGTGGATGCGCAACTAATTTCATGTTTTGAATACATCTGAAGTAAGTCTATTTGAGACAAGAAACCGATGGAATTATTATGAACATGGATTATTAGCTCACACATCCTCACTATGCAACTATGCACTGCCGTTTCCTGCCATCTCTGAAGCAGATGTTACATTACATCATAGCCAAACATTGATAACTGAAGCATCATGACGCTTAGGCAACACGTACAATTACAAAACGAGTTCATAACAAGTGTTCATCAGCTAGTGCTGTGTTGTATAAAAACCTACGTTATGTCAATAAAAGTATAATTTCAAAAAAAGGCTGACAATGTCACTTTTCAAGATACATAATAACGAGAACATTTCAACAATTTACCAAATAATCAGTCACTCAACTCCAATCCAACATATAATCAAAATTCAATTATTGATCAAGAGAAGTATATAAAATGTCTTGACGTATCCATGGATGGCCGATATTGTCGGGATATCCATATTCCTTAAAAAAAATGCAGTGGTGTCTGCGGATGCAAACTTCACTGGTGGTCAAAAACACATATCATAGGTGCAGGTAAAAAACACGTTTTGTAATTCTTATATAAAATGAACAACATGTTTATACAACCCTGAGTATAATAATAGAAACTATCTCTCAAATGCGTCTTCCGTTTCGTACTTATATTGCCTCCCTTCTAACAAAGTAGTGGCTCTTAGTAACTCTACAACGGTGTCACCCCTGGCCATTTGTCGTTCTATAAGCCCAAACTTCGACATTCTCTTAGACCAAGTATTTTGGAAATGTCTCCATACTTGCGGGTATGTAGCAAAGACTTGCATTATAACTTTTTTATTCCCATAGTAGATTTCACTGACCTCGACTGCTACGAAAGTGTAGCGCTGCACTTCTTGCCCTGGTAGATCTATTCCAAACTCATCTCCGTCATTCAGATGACCTATTTCCTGTCCATTTCTGTGGTAAATCGCCACTGTACCCCATGATATAAAGTAGATGTTCTCAGTTACTACTCCTGCTTTAAATATGGTATCCCCAGGTAAGAACGTTTCAGAATTAGTAAATGCTAGCATTTCAGCAATGACCGTTCCTGATAGCGCTTGGAACATAGACATTTTCTCCAATAACCTTCTCGCTCCAAACAGAAATATATCAGTTTTCAAGTGTTCAGATAGCGTGTTACGTATTTCGGACTCATTGAAATAGTGTCTTTGCAACTTGATCTGATAATACCTCACCAGCCTCTCACTGAGCTCATCTGGCAGCTTTTTGGACTTGACGTACTCATCTACTTGATGAATGAACTGTTCATATTTGCTTTGCGATATGCTCACTAATCCAAACAGCTGCAGAACCTCTGCCATAAAGAATATCGTGTAAAGACGCCCTGTGAATAAGATGATAGCGTAGATAATTTCTTCGCAAGGCAAGGTGACTGGATATTTGTCGTACGTTGCCCCAAAAAAGTGACACACTACAGTTAGTTGACATTCGTAGTAGATGTCCAATGATGAGATACTTTTGATATCATCTAGCCCAGCCTTTTTCACCCAGGAGTCAGATGGAAAACTTCCGCCATATATTATCAGTGGGATCGAATAAACGTGGACGGTAAATATATGAAGAATGATGAAGCATAGAGCAGAGTGGCGTGCTATAAATCGAATTGGCTTGCCAAAACGTAGACGCTTTAGTATTTTGTATAAAGTATTGAGAAGGTATGGTAATCTAACCATAACTGAAACTGTCGCTATAGAGGTGAAAATAAAGATTTCCAGTGGATCTCTTCCTGTAATGGTGTACTTCGCTCCGCATGTGCCAAATACAGTCAGAACGTCAAAAATAAAGTACCATCTCAAGTACCGAAAAGCAATTCTTTTCTCATTCAGTACTACTCCCGTATGTGTGTAGTCAACGTAACCAACCATAAAGAAGGATATTATTATAAGAAATTGAAATACACCTAACATGACGTTCACGTTTGACTCAATCCAAAGGCTAAAAGTTGCTGGTACTCCTTGGAGAGGTATGGTGATGCATGACGGGAACCAGATCAGGATAAACAGCCAGTCCAAGATGTTACTGAGTTTGCTGAATGGATGTATTATGAACCAGTGGCATGTCCGTACCTGTCTCTTCTGCTCTAACAGCATAGAAGACTTATTTCTGAAGAATATCCTACTTTCCTTGTTGTGCTCATTCAGAAGGGCTTGCATTCTCATGAAGCGTAGGAATTTCCTGGCAGATGAAGACATAGGAGCAAGAGGTAGTAGAACGCCGCTTCTTCCGGTTTTCTGAAGGGTGCATTCGTGAACATCGTGTTTTCGGTAACTCATTTCTTGAAAGGGCTAGGCTTGATTTCTGTTGAATGACACCTTTCACACAAATCACTTCAATGCTGCTGGTTGTAATAATAGAGCCTTAGAATATTTTTATACTGGCTGCGTTCACTTGCACTCAGCAGCTGTATCTAAGATACAGCGCTGTCTAGAATATGCTTTAGCTCAGCTTCTGAATGTCATCTAAATAAACTCACAATCACCAGCAATGAAACCAACTTACTATTCGTCGTTTCTTCGAGAGGTGGACCGACCACCACGAGGAGTCATAGGCCATATAGCGGGCCTTTATGCACTACCACACTTCCCAAGCCTCAAGCTCTGCCTTTTTATCAAATTTGAGTATCACCCTTTGTCCCAGCTCCGTAAGATTCTGGGGATTCATACATGAGCCGCCGCGCTCATACATGAGATTCTCAGCCACCCCCTTCACATGCACGCCTCATCGTGTTATGGCCAGACAGTAGTCCCACCAAAAAACTTAAATTGGCTCAGGGCCAGCAAGCTTGCCTGCTGATCCTGCTTTTGCGAGAGCGTCCGCCATATCACTACTTTTTATCCCAGTCAGCCCCGGTACCCACCGGATTCCTCGCTGCTGAATCAACCAGAACTTCCCTGCATTGCAAGACAAGGTTCGAAGTAATCTTGCAGGCACTTAGTGCTTTCATCGCCCCCTGGCTGTCGGAGAAAGTTATTAATCTTTTCCTAGGTCCTTCCCCCTCCAAAATGCCGGATATGCAGGCTATAATCGCGTATATTTCTGCATGGCAAATGGTGGTGTGTCCACCGAGGGGCAGTGTGAGTTTTTGGTCCAAAGACCCCGGTGCCAGAGTGCTTTTCGGTGACCGAGCCGACCAGACTTGCCCACTCCTTAGGAAACCTTTCCGGTTGCGGCATCTCACTCCACCCTCGTTGGATACTCCATATTAAGGTTGCAGTTCACTAAGTTGGCAGTGTGACCTTTGACAGGATTCATTAAGGCCCAGCTATCCTGATTCCACAGTCGATATGCAGCTACCGTCGCCTCTCCGTGGAACACTAGATCCAACGGTGGGAGATGCAGCAGGGCTTCCATTGCACTCAATGGTGTTGCTCGCACTGCGCCAGAGAAGTATGAGGCTAAGGGAATGGGTGGAATGAAAGGAAGGAATAGAGGAGAAAAGACAGGAAAAAGCAACTGTGTATTATGCATAAGTATGCATCATAAAGTGAGTCTAGGGTTGTTATACTGTAGTACGTAGTTCTTTACTTGTCGCGAACAGATTTTTTTTTGGGCGTTAAATTGTCGGATTTATATATTTGATGGTATAAAGGTAACTGAATCCTGCTTACAATGAAAACCGTGGCCTAGAATGTCTGTGCACTTGCTGGACTGCATTACTAATGCTTTTCGCAACAAGGGGTTGCAGTGCGATTTTGCTTGTTGATAGCGTAGTTGCGGTAAATCTATAATGTCATTCTTGACGTAGGAGATGCATAGATCCCTCTTCTAGGGCAGCATGTGAGTTTTGGCGAAAAAGCACCGGGCCACACATACATCGAGACATTGATTTTTAAGCCGGACTTAGTTTTGGGGAATTTTTGAGGTGACGATAAAATAATTTTTTCGACGAGCTTAGAAGTAGCTGACAACAGGCTAATGAGGCGATAATCCTATGGGAATCTTGAAGCCACCTTCTTTGGAATGATGATGACATCAGCGATCTCCCCACTTCTGTGAAATATTGAATCCTGAGCATCGCGATGTCCATTCGATCCCTCTGCGTAAGAGACGATCTGCGCCATTGAGTGCACTCAAATTCTCTCAGCTACTTGCTGCCTGTTAGATTCGCTCACCTATGGGCAGCCGCGATAAAGCCCCTCAACTACAGCGTCTCAGAAGGCATTCGCTCGGATGTGCTCTTCTCAGGAGAAATATCTCAAGGGCAAGGTTCTCAGGAGACCGTTATGAGTTTAGCTTTGCGAGACAGTTCGATGCTACCTTTCAATTAAGTGATATAGGTAGATTTGTATTGCGTGAAGTTTTCGTCTTCATATTTAATACAGGGTATCCAATAAGTACCAAGACAAACTTGAGGAGAAGGTAGGCTTTGGACTGCCTTCCAAAATAACAAAAACTCACCTATATAAAAGTGTCACCGTTTTTGAGATATTTAATTTTTTCATAAATTTGATTCTATGGTCTTTAGCTGCTAGTACAAATAAGGTTATACTTTGTTCATTTTTCTATAAAATACTTCTAGATAGTTGCTATATGATATACAAATGCAATGTAGTTAAAAGATATTAAGGAACCATGATCAAATAGGGACTATTTTTTCCTCAACTTTGACCATCTGTGGTGAAACTAAAATGTACTGGGCTGTAACTGCATTATATTGAATAAAAACATTGCTCATTGAATACAGATTTCAGAAAGGCACCACACGTACTATTTGGAATAGAAAAACGTGACAGCTGCTTTTGTAAGTGACTGACACACACTACAATGTAATTATTGGACTTAAATTCAAGTTGCGCTGGTTACCGATCAGTGACATGCTAAATAGTACCAAGCTACATTATTATTACCTGCTCCTATGAAAGTTGAGGAAACAATATCAGAAGGTTATAAATCACAAAACAGTATTTATTTTATCATGGTTCCTTAATCTCTTTTTTTGTAAATGATAAAGCAACTATCTAGAAGTATTTTATAGAAGTACTAAACAAAGTATAACCTTATTTGTACATGCAGCTAAAGACCATAGATTCAAATTTATGAAAAAATTCAATATCTCAAAAACGGTGACACCTTTATACAGGTAACTTTTTGTTATTTGGGAGGTGAGTCCAAAGCCTACCTTCTCCTTAAGTTTGTCGTGATACTTATCGGACACCCTGCATATTCACAGTGCAACTGTTCACGAGCGAATCGTAAATTGATGTATTTTCCTGACAACGTCACGACAGTCCAATTCATAGTACATGCTGTACTTTGCTGTAAACTCACGGCAGAGCGGATACTTTTGGATAAGCTGCAGCTGAGCGGTTTATCGCAGCTGTATTCTGGCAACGGGTAGTTATCGCTACCTCTTTTGGTACTCACTTGGCAACCATCGAAAGATTAAGATACCTATACCGATAGAGCTATTAGTCTGTGTCAATGTCTTCCGGGAATTAAGGTAGTCACCCTCAAGGAATGAGAGAAACATTTTCAATAACTGTTGTAGCTGGACACCTGCTCATGTATTTGTTGAGGTTTTTGCCCAATCAGGGACCAGTAGTGCCTAGGTTTGGTCTAGTTCTGTCATTTGAGCCTTTCTCATCGTCTATGGTTTACCCTTCATCAATGTCCGAACGGTACAATAATTACTAGATACAACATGAATAGAAATGCCATAGTATCATGCAATGCAAAGGAAATATACTAAGTGACATATAAATCCGAACACCCAGTTTAAATGGTTTTATTTTAATAAAAGTTGGTGAATGTATTTATCTTACTGTAAGTAACAAGTGAAAACATTTTCAGCCTTATCAGTTGGACATTCCGGTTTTTATACTGCTTTTTTTTAATTCACTAACGTTCTAAAAATGAATCAACGTTGGCGGATTTTGGTTCTTGACATCCTTTACGATCGGTTACGATGCCTAGAGTACGGAGCCCTGTACGATTTCGTCAACTTAGTGAGTTTGATAGGGGCCGTATAGTGGGACTTCGGGAAGCTGGACTTTCTTTTCGGGCAATTGCAGTTAGAGTGCAAAGAAGTGTAGACACTGTGGTTAGGTGTTTTCAGGCATGGCTTCGAGAAGGCCGTCCGCAAAGAGCAAGGGGCACTGGACGCCGCCGTAGAACAACAGACCGTGAAGATCGCCGCCTAAGATTATTGGCCTTAAGAGACCGTCTCTCCACTACCAGGTCCATTGCAAATGAATGGTTGGCAGAACACGGAAGACCTATTGGCATGCGAAGTGTTTACCGACGAATGAGCTTGTTTTCATACCGGCCACACTGGGTCCTCCCTTTAACTCGAGAACACCGACGTAATCGCCTTGAGTGGTGCAGACAACGGTCACTCTGGGATCAGGAATGGAACAGTATTGTCTTTAGTGGCGAGTCTCGATTTTGTTTAGGCATGCACGATGGTCGTGCCAGGGTTAGAAGGCGACGTGGTGAAAGGAGGAATCCACAGTTTTTTGTTGAAAGACATGTTCATCACGCTGTTGGAGTTATGGTTTGGGGTGCTATAGCTTATGGTTCCAGTTCACCTTTAATCTTCATCAGAGGTAACTTGAACGCGCAGCGTTATATCCACGAAGTTCTAGAACGCCATCTTTTACCCTATCTTGACACCCTGGCAGATCCAACTTTCCAACAAGATAATGCCCGACCACATGTTGCAAGAGTCACAATAGACTTCTTTCAAGGAGATTGCTCAATTTGCAACGTCCTCCTCAGACTCTAGAAGCACTTCGAGAGGAGTTGGTGCTTGCCTGGAATGAGATACCACAGGAGGACATTGACCACCTGATCAGATGCATGCCTAGGCGCGTTGGAGAATGCGTAGCACATCAGGGTGCATCCACACATTATTAAAGGTCAAAGGGCTTTAAAGCAGTGCAATCATTTTGAAATTTTTATCATTTACTTATTATGCTTCATAAAGTACTTATACAAAATTTTATTGAAATAAAACCATTTAAACTGGGTGTTCGGATTTATATGTCACTTAGTATATATACCACCTCAAAATTGCAAATTATCAACAATTTCAACATTTCCGTGATCGATTTTTCATAGGGATTAAAATATTATTCCGCATTCAACTAGTGCATAGGAGGAATCCGTGTAAGCTATCCTCTTTAGGAATTGCTCCAAAGTGGGAGATCGATCCGATCAGATAGAACGCAAAGGATAAGTATGCTAGGGAGGATCCTATCATGTACTGCGGTTTTATAGTACACATTCATTTATTAAAGTGTTACAGAACAGCTTAAAAAAGGAGCGTGCAACA